GAAGGGTCAAGGGAGCATGGGTGTTGCAGGAAAGTCAGAGGTTGGAAGGGTTGCAGGTGGGTCAGGGGAGGAAGTTTTGAAAACGATTGTTTTAAAAAACAATCGTTTTCAAAATTGGCAAAACGAGTGTATTAAAACAATCGCTTTTGAATAAAAATGACAGTTTTTAAAAAAATTGAAAATTTTTCATTTTAAATTCAAAACATTTCTGATTTTTTTTTATATTTTTGGAAAATGGATTCTTTCGACTCAAAAAAAATTGAATTTTTTATTAATTTAAAAAACTGAACATTTAAAAAAAATAAAACTTTTATTTTTTTAATTTTAAATATTTTTTCAAAAAATTTTTAAATCTTAAAAATTATTTAAAGTTTTTTTTAATTGTTTCAAAATTATCGTTCTTTTTTGAAAACGATCGTTTTTAGAAACTATAGCTTTATGGAACGATCGTTTTCAAAAGCTCAAAACTAACACTTCGTTAGTTTTAACAACTCGTTTTCTCCTAAAGCAAATGTAAGTGAGTTTTGAAAGATCCAAAGCAAAACTAAAAAATATCCTTTTTCTGATAGTTTTTGGAAACGATACACAAGCCTAGAATTACGTCACAGACAAAGAAGTTTTTCTTTTCACCAATAATTTTGAAAGCAAAAAAAGGCAGACTACATTTTGGAAATGCAAAGACTAGGGATAACATTTGTTCATTAATTCGAGAGTTTTACTTCTAATATTATATTGAAAACTGGGTGCCGCAAATTATTCCAAAGATCAAAAATGATATTCAAGTTTGACTCTCATGAATCGTAGAACACCATAAATATGATTTTTTTATAGGTTATAAAAAGTGGAAATCCAGTAAAATCTCCTGAAGAAGGTTATAATCGGGTCAAGGAAAGTCAAAAAGTAAATATTTGATTACAAATCTACATATAATTTGCTTTTCTATTGAAGTTTTTTTTTACTTAAAAATTTATAACTTGCTATTGAGTGGAAGTTTTGTTTTACTTAATAATTTACACTTTTTTCAGTTTTTTTTTTACTTAATAATTTACACTTTTTTTAGTTTTTTTTACTTAATAATTTACACTTTTTTCAGTTTTTTTACTTACCTTTATATAAATTTGGCTTGTCTGTCTGTTTGTCTGTTTGTCTGTTTGTTTGTTTGTATCCGATAAACGTCAAAACGGCTGAACTGATCAGGCCCAAATTTTTGTGGGACATCACGTGACCACAGGGAAGGTTTATGAATGATCAAAATTTCAAATATTTGTCTCCATCAAAATTCGATCTTCATTAAATTTTTGAAAATTTTGAAAATCCACGAAATTTTTTGTGAAAATCCGCGAATTATTTTTGTTTCGTTTTACGATGTACACAAAGAGAACATGTTCACAATTAATTTAGAAGATGGGCGCGAAGCGCCCTATAGGCTAGTTAATTTATACTTTGCTTTTCAATAGAAGTTTTGTTTTACTTAATAATTTTTAATTTGCTCCTCAGTTGAAGTTTTTTTTACAAATAAAATTATGATTTGCTTTTTATTAAAATTTAATTTTGCTTAAAAGCTTATATATAATTTGCTATTCATTGGAAGTTTTATTTTACTTTTAATTCATAATTTGGTTTTCTATTGAAGTTTTTTTTTACATATTAATTTATAATTTGCTTTTCTATTGAGGTTTTATTTTACTCATTAATTTATAATTTGCTTTTCTATTGAAGTTTTTTTTACTTATTTATTTATAATTTGCTTTTTTATTAAAGTTTTTTTTTACTTGTTAATTTATAATTTGCTTTTCTATTGAATTTTTATTTTACTTATTATTTTATAATTTACTTTTCTGTTGAAGTTTTTTTTACTTATTAATTTATAATTTGCTTTTCTATTAAAGTTTTATTTTACTTATTAATTTATAATTTGCTTTTCTATTAAAGTTTTATTTACTCATTAATTTATAATTAGCATTTTAATTGAAGTTTGTTGTTTTAAAATAAAAACTAAAAAATTTATGTTATTTTTTTATTTTGTTCTGTTTAAAAAAATTTTTTAAACTCATAATAAAATAAAAAAAGTAAATTTAAATTCATAATTTCTCTTTAAGGGGCTATTTGCGTTTATCAGTGATGCCAGTGAAATAAAATATCAATACTACACTAACTGTGAGTTCCTTGAGGTATATTTAAATTTAGTTTTTATACAGGGTATCCCACTAAACACTATATAAGTCATGCAACCTTTTTTGATACTTTGACAACAACAGTCTTTATGTCGTCTTGATACACACTTTGACATTATGGCACAAAAGTGGAATTTAACCCTCGCTCAAGCAAATAACTTTTAATCGTCTTTAAAGCAAATATCTTTCAATCGTCGCTCAAGCAATTATATTTTAATCATAGCTCAAGCAAATATCTTTTAAGGGTCGCTCAAGCAATTATATTTTAATTATAGCCCAAGCAAATATCTTTTAATCGTAGCTCGATCAAATATCTCTTAATCGTTGCTCAAGCAAATATCTTTTAATTGTTGCTCAAGCAAATATCTTTTAATCGTTGCTCAAGCAAATATCTCTTAATCGTTGCTCAAGCAAATATCTTTTAATCGTCACTCAAGCAAATATCTCTTAATCGTTCCTCAAGCAAATATCTCTTAATCGTTGCTCAAGCAAATATCTTTTAATCGCCGCTCAAGCAAATATCTTTTAATCGTCTTTCAAACAAATATCTCTTAATCGTCGCTTAAGCAATTATATTTTAATCTTCGCTCAAGCAAATATCTTTTAATCTTCGCTCAAGCAAACATCTTTTAATCGTTGCTCAAGCAAATATCTTTTAATTTATTTCTATTTCTTTCAGATAGGAGAACCCTTCGCTGAGCAACCTCTAGCAATTGCAGTACAAGAGGGAAGCAGTCTCTCTAAAGAGTTGTCTCAGGTAAAAAAGAGAAGCAGTCTCTCTAAGGAGTTGTCTCAGGAATAGATTGTAGTATAAAAGGGAAGCAGTCTCTCTAAGGAGTTGTCTCAGGTATATATTGTAGTATAAAAGGGAAGCAGTCTATCTAAAGAGTTGTCTGAGAGATATATTGTAGTGTAAGAGGTAAGAAATTCATCTAAAGAGTAAAATTAGTTTACTTGGATTTTTATTTTTGGCCAACACTCCCTTTAAAGAAAATAATGACATGAATACCAATTCTCATGCTATTGTATATGTTTAGGTAGTTCTAGGTCTGCAGAAAGACCGATTCTTTGAAAAGGTTCATTCAAAATTCTGGAATATTGGGCAGCGACAGGCGTGTCCGGTCATGAATGATAATCAGGTATAAAGATCATTTTAGAGTGTCAATAATAATTCAGTACACTGACGTTAAAACCCTGGTATTCTGAAATTTTATAAAAATTATAGAAAGTATTTTTTCTGTGAATTTCTAGAATACAGAGAGACTTTGGAATGGGTAGAAGCCTGTTAGACTCAAGTTCTGAAATTAATAAGAGAGACTGTGGAATAGGAAGACGACTGTTAGACTCAAGTTCTGAAATTAATAAGAGAGACTGTGGAATAGAAAGACGACTATTAGACTCAAGTTCTGAAATTAATAAGTCCAATGAACATGAAACACAACATTTGCGCAAAGTACAAAGACCCATTTTTCTAAAGGGGATTAAATTTAAGTTTTTGGTAAAACTATGTTTTCTAAAAATCAAAAACACATGAAATTATTTAATTGACGTCTTTCTTTGCCAGAGTAATTTGGGTCTCAATATAGCTGCGGGAAACTTTGTAGATTTTAGTGAGAGAAAAAAAAACTAAGGATATATTTTATAAGAATTTCAGAAACTATAAAGTAAAAAACTTGCTGTCCCTTTTATCAGAAAAAAAGATAAAGAAAAAAAGAAGAAACTTTCTTCTTAGAAAAGTTATGCCGTATGTAACAAAAATGAAAATCGTAAAATATGTTTATTTATGATCTGATTATATGTAATTTTTACCAAATATTAATCAAAGAAGGAATAAAGATTAGTGATCAGAATTCTGTGGAATAATTGCCATCTTCTTTATTTTTTTTCATTTTGTAATTTAGATCTAATAAAAGTGTATAGATAAACTGAGTTATATACAAATTACAAAATAATTACCATATTTTTAAAAATTTTAAAAAAGACACTCAGCATTCTTCTGATTCCTGGTTACAACTCAAAATGCAAAAAATATTTGTATATATATATGCTATAGCTAGCCAAATTTTTTATTTATTTTTTTTTCAAAATTAGAATTCTTTTTGTCAAAATTCGAAATTTGTTTTTTCAAGTTTTTCTAAAATTCCAGGGGCAACGCCAGGTATTTTAGCTAGTATTATATACAGGGTATCCCAAAAAACATGGGAATTCAGTGACGAATTCGATATCGTCTTTGTTATGAATTAGGATTGTAATACCTAATACCTAGAGTTTATTTTATGAAAAGTGTAAAAGACTGTAAAGATGTGTCATAATGTCTCCGCAAGATGAACAGTGAAGACGGACAAGTTTACTCTGTTTGTATACTGCAATTTTCTTGTTTTACTAAGTACAACCGTATGCAGTCAAAACATAAACAAACAAAATGTGAACATACAGCAGACGAAACTCTTGCAGATTACAGCTTTCTCATTAGGTATCACTATACTAAATCAAAAAATTATTTGAAAAGACGATATCAAATTCGTCACTGAATTCCCATGTTTATTGGGACACCCTGTATTTAGGGAATCACGCTTGAGTCTCTCGGAGGTATATTCCTAACTACCCTGGTAGGACTAGCTCTCTCTGTACTCATGTTAATATACGAGATTTATCAGGAGAAAAAAGAGGAACAAATAGCCAAGGTAAAACTACAGGGTTACCCACAAAATATGAGACGACCAAAAATTCAAAAAAATTTAGACTAAATCTTATCTTCTGAATGATTCATTAAATAAAAAAAACAGGTCTCTACTGCAAAGGATTCAAGAATATAAGAAGAACGTCTCTTTGAATTCCACACAGTAGTCTCATACTTTGTGGGTAACCATGAATAAAATTCTACACTGTTGTATCCACAATTTATAAACAAAATGTACAAAAAATCAAAACTATCAACTAGATTTGTCGGCGTTTATATTAATACAATTACTTTTTTATAGTTTTGATAATTCATAACTAGCTTTTTTCAAAAAAATAAGTTTACAAATAAAGAAAGAGCAGCTGTTAATTGACAGATTGTTACCATGTATGTATCCATTATTTTTTAAAAAATTGGTATAAATCGAATTTGAAATCAAGATTCGTCTTCATCATAGGACGACTTTCCAAAAAATGAGCCTTTAGTGATGAATGTATAACCTTTTCAGTATTTAGAGTGATTGAGAACCAACTTTATTAAACCAGTGGCCGAATTTAAAGAATTTGAGCGGTGGTTTAAATTTAATGGTTCCATTAAAATTGTATCAAATGTTTCAAGATTTAAGCCGGCGCTGAATTTAAACCGGGTTTTGGCGGATTTAAACCGTGGCTCAAATTCTTTAAATTCCATTTTGGATTTTAATTCATTCGAAATCATAATTTTTTTTTAACTCACATTAATAAATGATATAAAATACAACAATTTTAAGTTTCTAAATTTACATTTTACAATTTTTCTTATTTCTAGATTCAACCGATGTTGTTTAAAAATAGACAAGGTTAGTATTTTTAGTTTAAAATTTAAACTTTTTCTTTTTCGTACTTTTTACTTAAACATATTATTCTATTCAGTTTTTCCATTCTGTCTTCTTGTACTTTTCTATTTTGGTAACCCTGGAGAACTAAACTCTTTTTAAAACTATGTTATGAACATGTCTGTGGTTTTAACGAGTTATCCAGTCAACATTTAAAGCAAATTGGTCAGTGGGTTCCTGAGTTATGATCGGACATAAAAACAAACAAAGACCCAGACTTGAGCAAAGTATATATATGATTTAATATATTTGTAGATGAAAAGATGTATGGGGATCTGGATAAGCCGACCTATACGCTCAGTGGAGATATGACCAGGCATTATGATTTATTAATTCACTGATTTAAACAAACAGTTCGCTAATGATTAATTTCTATCTTAATAATTGATTAATGATTGATTAAATGGTTGATTAAATGATAATCAATTGACTTATTAATGATTAATCGATTATTGACTGAACCAAATTTTGATTTCTTGATTTCATTTGAATAAAAAAGGTCCCGAAATAATTCTTAAAAGGACGAAATTTATCTTGTTCAATGAATCAAAATACTCTTTTTCAAAAAGGAAAAAGCATTTTTAAGATTTTTATTATACTTGGCTTTAAAGACGCCTCGCACCCTTCTTCTTTTTCAACTTTTAATTATGGCTCTATCTGTGAGTATCTTCTTTTGTACAATATAAAAAAATAACAAAAATAGTTCGCGGATTTAATAATTTTTTTCGAACATTTTCAAAATTTTACAAAAATCAAAACTTTTTTGACACATTTTTTTATAATTTTGAGCATCCATAAACCTTCCCGGGGCTTATGTGAGGTTATACATAAAATAACATTTGATATACTTTCATTAATCTATAAAATATTCATGTTTTCATAGATATACTAGATAGATATAATATATACTTAATGAAATCATGATAAGAAAACTTAGGAGTAGCCGAAAACTAGCAGATGTGGACTAAGATGTCGACTTAATCCAGGAAAAATTGAAAATGTCAACTGACTCAAAGAAAATTTGAACATGTCATCTGAATCAAGGAAAATTTGAAAATGTCGATTAAATCAGACAGATATTTAAGAATGTTGACCTAAAGTTAAATCAGGAAAAACATTGAAAAGACATTTGAATTTTATTACAAAATGTATTTTTATTAAAATCTAATTAATAAATTTCATATTAATTTTTTAAGCACTTAAGAATTTATGTATTATGTGTACTATGTAAAAAATTTAAAAACCTAAGACAGGAAATTATGATTAAACAATTGAAATAATCTTTTAACAACGAGATACTTTAAAATTCAGGTTTTTTTCTTTTGAATACAGAATATTGTTTTTCTAAAGCTTGGTTTTTATCTAAATTTTTATAAATAAATATATTTTTCACGCATTTCATTTTTTAAAAGAAAATGAAAGAGTTAAATTTATTTTTCATATGAATCTAATAAAAACATTTCTTAAATTTAAACCTAAAACTCTTTCAAACTTTGAATATCTCTCAAGCAATTCAATATATGTGTCTTTTTCAAAAAGTTTTCACACTATTATATTTGAAACAGATGTGATACAGGTTTAATTTGTTTAGATATTTGATCTCACAAACCGTGCAATAAATTTGAAATAAAAAAATGTTTCTTAAATTACTTGTACAGTATTGTAGTTATAATATCTAACTAAACTCCATTATGTTGATAAGAAAACACTGATCAAATGTAAGAATATTTTTATATTTATAACTACAAAGCATAAGATATTACAAGCCAATGGGTAGGTTGTTTTGATTGGTTGACCATCACACGTCCCACCGGTTTACATTTGAATATCCGAGCTGGGCCAACCTTTGCAGTCCTACTTTGGACTGTACCACAAATTTACAATTACTAAAGCGGCAGAGGAGTGTGATCAGCAAGTCAACGAAAATGAAAATAATTTGATATGCACAAATATCAAATTCACAATTGTATTGGATCAGGTAATGAGTATGTTGCAGGACGAGAACTGAGACATTAAAAATGAAAAAAAATCAAATGTAAAAATAAAATCTAAATTTTAGTTATTTTCTTAGTCAGGCGTTCTTTTCGATATTAAACCAAGATAAAAATGAATTCATACTTGAATTAACCCTTTTACTGCTGCACGCAAATGCTGTGCAGTGAGAAGCATTAAGAAAACAGTGGTGAAGACGACATTACAGCCCAACTTAAGCAAATTAGATATTTTGTACAAAGCAAATAGTTTTACTTATTAAATCAGTTATTAAATTAAATGGGTATGTTACACTGCACATTATATGTGACTCATGAGTCATGTTAGTTAAACTAGTGATAACCAGAAAACTCTGGAATAGGAATTCGACTTTTAAACTCAAGTTATGACTTTTAATAGCGCGTTGAACATGAGACACGGCAATTGTGCAACGTACACAGACCCATTTTAACTAAAATGTACTTTAATAACTTTCAAGTAAAGCTATTTGCTTTAAACAACATCAGAACACTTCAGAAATGCTATAATGTTGTTTTCCTATTCTATACAGTACATAAATAACAGATGGCAGATACCACGTGATGTTTCATGTCATATCAAAGTCAGATTTTTATAGTAATGATCACTTCTTAGTTCTTTTTATTGAACACTAAGCAAAATGTGTACATAATATTTTCCTGTTTGAAGTTTATTGTTTTGTATAATATTGTTTACAAAGTTCAATAAAGCGCTTATTCATATAGAATAATAAAAAATACCATGAAAGTAATGTTTCTTTTAATATTCACAATTATCATAAATATACAATTTATCAATAAAATAGAGTGTTTATAGTCAAGAGAAAGCAATTATTAAACTTTTATTATGACTATTTAAACTTTAAAACATTTAATAGGTTTACCCTAATATAATATATTTTAGTTTGTTTCTAAATTATTATGTAACTAGCTGAAGTTCCCGGCTTTGCAAGTGGAATTATAAAAATGTATTTTATAATTATAGCATTGGTTAACGGAATGTTGCCCAGCGAGGGAGGGAAGGCAACCTCCCACAAAAAGCTTTCGAATCTAATTTTACCTATTTGCACCACAGTGCGTCCCCCACAGGGCTTTCGATCCTCCCCAATATAGTCTTTGGAAATGTTCTTCCAGTTCCGCAAAGGTAAAATAAGGTTCTGAAGCTGAGTCGGAGAGGTTGCCTTCCCTCCCTCGCACAGCCCTATGCATGTAACCCAAAGGTCAATGTTAAATAGTTGACCTACATACCTGCAATATTCAAATAATTTCCCCCACAAAGAAATAAATAATAGTTCGGGGGTAAATAATACAGTTTTCAATTGGGAAGGACGGGAGGAGCAATGTGGGAAACCCCGGGGAAAATGGAAATTAAAATCAGATGTATATTCATGAAGAGGGAGAAATATTTATTTTGCTAAAATTGAAAGTTTATAATATTTTGGTGTGAGTTACTAGCTGCAGGGGTCAGCAGGAGCTCCAGCTGATACAGCTTTCCACACTAATCCTATACACTGATAAACCTCCGCAGTACTTCTAGTCTAGCACTACCCGGAGTAAATACAGGGGTTTTTATTTAATTTCTCCTACTTTATATCTTAACATTTACTAAACATAATGAGACTGCAGGCAATGTAATCTGTTCAATTTCAGTTTGGATTATACGAATTGCATTGTTTTTAATTCAGATTTTTTAACCGAACCAACACGTTTTATAGGGACTGTATGCAAAAGTTTAAATGACCCTACATGCACAGATGCTAATATCCGATTCACATCAATGCCCTTAAAAGCTCTTCCTGATCAAGTATTAATCAATTATATCAATGTTTATAATATTGAAAAATCAGGGTTCCCTACAAAAAGTAATTTGCGCATTTCTACTACAGGAAAGCATAAAAGAAGTTTCAATAGAAAAACATAGAAAAGTGATAATGTGTTTCACATTATTGATCAGATAAAGTTTTCAAGGTTATCATTGTGAATTGTCATCTTTGCATTGAGTGTCGTTTACGCTTATGCAGTCCCTTTTAGCTACAAGTTTCTCTTTAAACTTTGTCTAAGGTCTCCATTTCCGTTCTGGAAAAAAAAGTTTTTTTTTCTAAAAATTTCTAATATATATTAAGAAAAAACAAAAAGAAAATGACTGTTGAATCCAAAGGAAGTCGGATAGTAGCGAAACAAGTCGGTAAGTCGGTTAAACATATTTTCTAGTTTAGATCAGGAAATAGAAATGCAAATATAAGTTGTGTAGATAGAGACTGTCAAGGTACTAATGCAAAAAAAGTTATTTCAGAGGTGTACACATTTTTTGTACTGCAGTGTACTGTCTTTGGGCGGAAAAGTAACCACAAGACGGATGTCACAGCCTGACATGGCATCAATTTTCACAAAAATAATCTATGAAATATCCTGGTCATAGGAAACTATTATGTGAATTTTGAAAATTATTAAAATAAATATATGCTTTTAACCTCCTCGGATACCAGAAGAACACTGATGCATCTATTCTTGTTTACAAATTCCGCCCAGAGAGAACTGGTTTCAATATGTACGCAGAGTATACACGACAGCAATCAACTTTCCTTGCATTAGTACCTTGGGAACTGTAATCCTAGTTTCAAGGGACTTTTCATTCAAAAATGGGAACTCTCGATTCAAAAAGTTCTCCGGACTAACCAGAGTCTATACTTAAACAATCTTTAAACTTACGGAGTATTTTGTTGTATACTTTTTATTCAAAATGCGTATGCCGGCAAAAAAGTATTTCAGAAAATAGGCTAAAAAATGTGACCGAAAGTCACAACTTTCTGGAATTTTGACAGAACCGTTAAATCCACGTGAACAATAACAATAACAAGTACGCATTGCGTATTAATTTAATTCCTCTTTGATGCCCCGTGGTGGGATAATTGAGGAATCAAGCATTAATCCTGAAATTTAAAAACCCACATTGGATATCGAGATTGAGTGTTCAAGATTAACGATAAGCCACACGAAAGGTATTGTTTTATTCAAGCATTAATCCTGAAATTTAAAAACCCACATTGGATATCGAGATTGAGTGTTCAAGATTAACGATAAACCACACGAAAGGTATTGTTTTATTAGCACCCTTCGTGCATAGTCGTGAAATTATGCAACATTGGGGAACAAATCTAAAATGAAATAGGACAAATGTTAACCGAGTTCCTTCCAGCGCTGAAGAAATCCATCAGATGTATTTCTGTATAATCCACCATGTGTAGATGTCCATTTTCAAAAAGAAAAGCGTAACCATATTCATTATCGATGCTTTCAAACTTCTTATTGAGGATCATCTTAACACTTCCGGAAAAAATTTAATAAACTAGGCGAACAATTTTTTATATTTTTAGTTTGGCGAGAAAACAGTCCTGACAAGTGTGAAACTCCAAGTGTTAGAATCAGTTTCAGAAGAGAAGGAATTATTGGATCAGGAAGGAGTATAAATTTTTGTAAACACATTTTTAAAAAATTAAGAATATTAAAATATTTTTTATTTGTATTAAAACGGATGCCATTGTTTAAATACCCCAGGGACCGAATTTAATGAATTTGAACTGCATACTGTGGATTCAAATTTGAATCACCAATTCAAATCCTTCCTTAACATTTAACTTTGAATAGTTGGTTCAGTTTTGAACCGGCAGTAGGTAGTTCAACGACGTAGCTCAAATTCGTTAAATTCGGTCCTTGACTCCACAACTTTCAAAAGTTTTGCCAAAACAGGCATAGCAGTTTGCACCGTGAGAATATATCAAGTACGTCAGAAATACTTAAAAATTGACTTTAAAACTCCCCCCCCCCTCCCCCCGCGGTCAAATAAATATATCCTCTGAAGGTAGTTTTGGCGTGGTTCAAACTGTTAATATTACCAAAATATTCAGCTCTGCTGGGGATACAAGGTAAGGGCTGAGCAATCATTCCATTGAAAACTATTCATTCATGATATTTCAGGGTTTTCGAGAACCATTGATATTTCAGGGTTACTGAGAACCATTGATATTTCAGGGTTTTCGAGAACCATTGATATTTCAGGGTTACTGAGAACCATTGATATTTCAGGGATTTCGAGAACCACATGGATATCCCATGGATTTCGAGAACCATTGATATTTTAGGGTTTTCGAGAACCATTGATATTTCAGGGTTACTGAGAACCATTGATATTTCAGGGTTTTCGAGAACCACATGGATATCCCATGGATTTCGAGAACCATTGATATTTTAGGGTTTTCGAGAACCATTGATATTTCAGGGTTACTGAGAACCATTGATATTTTAGGTATTTCGAGAACCAAATGGATATTCCAGGGTTACTGAGAACCATTGATATTTCAGGGATTTCAAGAATCATCTTGATAGTTCTTAGTTCCTGAGAGCCATGTAAATTTCAGGGTTCCTAAGAACCATTGATTTTTGAGGGTTCCTGAGAACCATTAATTTTTCAGGGATTTCAAGAACCATTTTTATTTTTAAGGTTTCCTGAGAACCATGTATATTTCAGGGTTCCTGAGAACCATTGATATTTCAGGGTTCCTGAGAACCATGTATATTTCAGGGTTCCTGAGAACCATTGATATTTCAGGGTTCCTGAGAACCATTGATATTTTAGGGTTTCTGAGAACCATTGATATTTTAGGGTTTCTAAGAACTATTGATATTTCAGGTTTACTGAAAACCATTGAAAATTCAGGGTTCCTGAAAACCATTGATATTTCAGGGTTACTGAAAACCATTGATAATTCAGGGTTTTCGAGTACTATATTTATATTTCAGCGTTTCCGAGAACCTTTATATTTCAGGTTTCTGAGAACCATTGATTTTTCAGGGTTCTTGAGATCCATTGATATTTCAACGTTTCTGAGGACCATTTATATGTCAAGGTTACTGAGAATCAGTGGTATTTAAGGGTTCCTGAGAACCATGGTGATGTTTTAGGGTTCCTGAGATCCAGTGATATTTAAGGGTTTCTGAGAACCATGGTAGCATTTTAGGGTTCAGCTGAGAACACATATTGATAATTCAGGGTTTTCAAGAACCATTGAAAGGATTCAGCTGAGAACAATTTATATTTCAGAGTATACTAAAGACCATTTATATTTCAGGGGTTCCTGAGAAAGATTAATATTTCAAGGAAACTGAAAACACTTGATAATTAAGGGTTCCTAAGAACATATTTATATTTAAGAGTACCTGAGAACGGATTAAAGTTAGCTATGAAGACCTTGAGTGTAAAAAGACGAGAATCCCGGGAGCTAAATATACTCAAGGAGACAAACCATCTAAATATTGTTAAACTTAGGTAAACAAGCTTTTAATAGAACTTTCTACATTCAATTTTGATTTTCGATGTTAAATATATTTTCGAGTCTTTTTCAAATAAACCCACTATGAGGGGTCAAAAGTGACAATATTCAATATTGTGGAACCTAAGGACATAACCTTTGAAATTTCAAAATTTTACTTTTTCATCAAAGTTTTATAGTTTCTTATATCAACATCAGGTTGCAAAGATATAAGTTGGATTTTTAATCAGAGTTCCATTCTGTGGAATTATTTGACATTACGCATAGATGCGCATAATTGCGCGGAATTTTGTGTAATTAATCGGTTCGCAATTGTGTGCAATTAAGATCCACTTGTATTGGAAACCCTAAATATGATGTTCAAAATAGTAGACTTTTAGACAAGCGTTCAATTCCTTTGCATGACCCGAAGTTATAAGTTGGATCGTATTTTTAGGTTTTATTTCTATACCCACGCTAAAGATACTAGAGAACTAAAACTAAATCTCCTATTTGATATTCACCAAACCTCACTCTTCCACCTTATAGAGAAGGTAAAAATAAGATTATTTTCGAGTAGAGAATTTAAGCGTTCAGTAAAATGCGTTTTAATGATAAATCTGAAAATCCAGTGAACAGAGGTTTTTGAAGATGTATTTCTAAACTTATTAAAGGCCTTTGACAAATTAAAAATTGATAATTAAGAAAATTGTAAACTATCTATTATAGATAAAAAACAGTAATTTATGTTTTTTTGGGTGATCGTTTGTTAGTATGTCCCATCATAACTCATAAACCCCATGGCCGATTTGCCTCAAAATTAGATTGGATAACTCTGTGGACCTACGAGATTGTTCTTAGCTTGGATTAACATTTTTTATTGAGTAGATTCATTTTTACTAGGTAATTTACGTTGCTTCTAGAGAGTTGGTTCCCAAGCTAGATTAATCATATTTTTTATTCTAGACTTCTTAAATACCTTTAAATGATTTATTTTTAATTATATTTTAGTTTGATTATGTTTTAGTTGTCTAATGAAGAGAGTAGAATGTCATCTTCTGATATATTGAATTACGGGCAGCAAATACTTCAAGGGTTGGAATACCTGCACAATAAGAGTATTGCGCACAGGTATTTTCAAATGTCGTCTTCTAAAATCAAAATGCTAAAAATTATAATTCCTTTTCAGAGACTTAAAGCCTAGAAACTTGCTGGTCGACGAAGAAAACCGGTTTCTTCAAATTTGTGATTTAGGAAGTGCATGCAGGTAAGATAAAAAAATATTAAACTTTTAACTTTACGTGAAAAAAAAACAAATTTTCTTGTGATAATCTTGATTATGTTTTCTAATCTGTGGCAGTTTTTTTTATTTAAAAACATTCCCGTCCGTCTCCTAAGTGAAGTTCATGTCAATTCCCATCCCCGATCGCCGATCGGTTCTGTCGTTAAGATGATTATGCAGAACACATTTTTTTGCCACAAACTCAAATTTACCAATCCCTATATCTTTACGCCCTGATGGTGTAACCTATGATATTTCAGACTTTGAATATTTGATCTAACAAAATTCATAGTTTGAACTCACAAAGGTCTACGAAATTGGTTTAGAAAAAAGTAGAGAAATAAAAATCCTGAATTTGTTTTGGGGGAAAATAAATTTCTTTGCCAGAGTATAATGTAAAAACAGTTTCGATTTTCCCTCTGTTTTCAATTATGAATAAAACGTGTTTAAATCTCTAAATGTACCGAAAATAAGAACTAAAATTAAATTGGAGTGTGTGCAGATCGTCAGTCCCCAACAGTTGTTGAGCTCCCCCCCCCCCNCCCTCTGGACAAATTCCTGTATAGACCCATTAATGAAAAAAAAAACGTTAGTTATTATAAATTATAAATTATCTTAACTGTGAAGGATTTTGACCTTTTCCACAAACTAATCACTTTATCTTCGCAATCCAATGATGTTGTAGACTTCGATATTTCAAACTATAAATTCTATTGAATCAATAAATCTAAAATTAAAATATCAAAGTTTTACATCATCCGGTTGCAACGATAAAGGAATTGGAAAAATTCTGTGGAAAAAGCTCATATCCTTTCTTGGTTTTAACCTTGTGTAATATTGTTTTATAAGGGTTGGAGAGGGCCTGGATCTTAATCCTTATATTTGCAGCAGGTAATCACATTTAAACGATTTAACAGTGTGGTCCTTATCCCAGCAAGCTGTCACTTCGATAAATATTTTTGACAGATTTAACGTCCATTTTTGACAGATATAACGTCCATTTGTGACAGATTTAACGTCCATTTTTGACAGATTTAACGTCCATTTTTGACAGATTTAGCGTCCATTTTTGACAGATTTAGCGTCCATTTTCGACAGATTTAACGTCCATTTTCGACAGATTTAACGTCCATTTTTCGCTTTGTCTTTCAGATTTTTTGTCTGAAGAAAAGACAGCTGAGTAATTTGAAAACTCTTTTAGATTTGTCTTAGATTAGATAGCGACAGATAAATTACTTGCATTAATACCCATGCTGTGATTTAAAGGTGGTATAAGCTCTCAAGCAAAAAACAATGAGAATTTTGCCATTTACTTATTAAAAACTACAGCTAAAAACAAGTGCTTTATAGTTCTATCGTTTGCGAGACCTCGACCCGGTCTTAAACATTGATGCAGCATTTCATAGCATGCTGAATCTATGTGACACGGGATTGAATTGAAATTGTGAAACCGACGCATCTCACCCTGGTTAGTCCAGGGTGAGTAAATAACAGTTAATCTGAGAAAAAAGAACAAAAAAACATGCAAACATTGAGAATAATGGTCAACAGTTTTTAGTGGTCTTTTCTTTGTCTTTTCTACAGATTTTCTTTTTTATTTAAGTCTTTTTTAGATCTAAATATTTATTTTGTAGCAGAGATTAAGATATTACAATTGTATTACAAGTTTACAACTTTCATAAATGGAAAAAACTACATTATTTATTTTCTATATAAATGGTTCATATGATAGACACAGATTAGACTTTGAATGCCAGTGCAATATTTCGCAGCTGACTCCCTCGTCATCCATTGCTGAGAAACAACAGAACTTCCTGTAATAAATAACCAACTGATATTTAATTTGGTTGTCTACTTTTTCATATGCTCTCATTGCGTTGTGTCTAACTGGGCAAACTGTACAATCTTTTTCTTCTCAGAAAGTAAAAACTGGGTTTGCAATGTTCACAGGTGGTTTTAGTTCGATTTCAAGTTCAGTTTCTGATTCTGGACCAGCTTCAGTCTCAAGTTCAGGTTCAGGCGCAGACTCAGTCTCAGGTTCAGGTTCAGGCGCAGACTCAGCCTCAGGTTCAGGTTCAGGAGGCTAGGAGACAGAGAGTCACAGAGATGTGTTGTTGCTAGCTGGGTTAGGGGGAGACAAATTTATTTAAGTCTAAACGTGTTCGAGTGAGTAAAAAAAATATGTGATACGCGTCGTTTTCTTTCATAAGACGACACTAGTGACTAGTCACACTTTATTTTCATTTTTATTTCAACAAAATAGCTAAGGCGAAATATCATCTGTTAACGGATAAAAATAGGTTTGAAAGTTAAGACTCACTAACTTTTAATCAGAACCTCTAACTTACCGTGATAAATAAAATCCCTGAAAATTCAATTATCTGGTTTCCTCGTAACTCCGCCCCCACCCCCACCCCCCCCTCTTATACCGTCGATCTCCAATTATACTAGTATTTTATCCTATTAATTTATTCCTAGTATGAACTCTTTGTTTTAATTCTGTATAAAGTTCAAATGAAATAGGATATATAAGAAAATAGTGAGAAAAGGTGAACTAGATTTTCAAGATAACTTTATTTTTTTAGTTCAAATCAATCAAATCAAATCAAATTAAGACCAAAATTGAATGATTACCATTCTATTTAGAAGAATATTATTAATAGTATTATCTTTTAATTACAGGAGTCACAGAAAAAGGCAAAATTACATTTTTATGCATTAAAGACCCGTTTCACATATTATTTTCGGATGTATGAAATTTAAGATCTAGAATTATTTGATAGCATTAAAAATTTTCTTTAAAATGCCTGCATTAAAATAATGAAAACAATTAAAATGAAAAATACAAAATATTTTGAATAAAGTGGTTTATTTAATATATTCATTAAAAGATATTTAATGCAATAACGATGAGTCTTCTAATAATCCGACAAATTAAAGTTTAATCAAACTAATTATTATATTAATTAAACCCCTTTACTTATAAACCATTAATGGGATCTGCTTCAACAGAATTGATCCTTTGTCTCAACTTTAAAGAACTCAACAGTGCACATTTCAGCGAAATTAGCATTCATTGTAATATTCAGAGCTGAATACTTTAGAATTGTGGATATTTTGATTAGTGCTCAATCTATTCGTTTTGTTAGCCTGAAAATATCAAGGAAATTCAACCAATCAGAGTCTTGTTTGCAGAAACCAATACACTTTGCGCACCCAGCAGGGATATTCAAAATAGATGATTTAGCAGAAAATTGAAAATGTCTCTGCTGTGGGCCTTGAGACTAACGTGAACGTGATTAAAGATATCCTTAATCAAGAGCTGAAAACTTTAGAATGGTGGATATCGGGATTAATGCTTGATCTTCTCTTTTTGATAATCTTGCAAGATTATCTTAAAAATGTAGCAGCCAATCAGAGGAAAGCGGTCAACCAATGAGAGAACAGAAATATTCTCATTGGAGAAAACAATTAACGGATATCCACGGAGAGAGAAAAAGAGTGGATTAGGACAAAAATAAAAAGTTTCCACAGTGGATATTCGGATCAAGAAGTCAGGATTAAAGTTTATCCATTCTAAAGTTCCCAGCTCTGAAGTGATAATTAATCTGGAGATTAATAACAAGAGGAGAACAAGTATTATTTAATCTGGAGATTAAGGAAAAAAGGAGATAAAGCATTAATCCTAATACTCACCATTCAAAAGTTTCTAGTTCGGCTTGATAACATTTAGTTCGCAAGAAAAAAAACATAAATGTGTGAATTCTAACTTCAATCAAAATATAAGAATATTTAAATAAAACTATGATCTCACAGATTGGTGAAAACCGAAAGTTCTTTTTTAGTTTCAAATATATTTAGTTTTTATTATATTTTTCGATCTTTATAAAAGATTGAAGTTGAGAAAATTTTGAAAATGTTTACGTATTGGCCAAAGAGAATAGAATATATATTAGAGTGAAATTTACTAGAAAAAAGTGTAAATCGGCCATTTTGTTGTACTGTTTCCATACTGCAGGTGTACTTCACATATTTGTGCTATATAACCTTTTGGGCCCTGGAACATTATTTTATAGAAAATCTAAAATTTATATTAAAAGGAACCCAAATTATGAAATCGGCTGGTTTCATAATTGACCAATGATCATATTACATAGACTCTATGCCTTTCACTTTACAAACGATGATTTTCCGCCATAAATATAAATCAAATGATGTTTTTTAACAGCATTAAAAAATTCGAAATTGAAATGGATAGTCTAGGGAACATATTATTTTAATGTACTCTACTTCATATAATTTGTGAACATTTACATGATTTGTACACTTTGAACTCCCTTCTAGGCTGAACGGGACTGGCAAAGTCCAAACGGAGGGATTGTCTAAATTCCACTCTAATATATATTCTATTCTCTTTGGTATTGGCACAGTTTTGTTACAACCAAATATGTGTATAATTATATCTATGATCCGTATATTAATGATACTTGGATAATTCCTTTTCCTAAACTGTTTATAAATTTATTTGAATTATTAAAAAAACTAAATTGTTTCTTAGATTTTACCGAGCTCCAGAACTTCTACTTGGATCTACTGATTATAATTCCCAGGTACTTGTTTTTTTCTATAACTCACAAAAATTTGAAGCAATGTTTTCTGAACGTTTTTTAAACATTAATTTAAAAAAAAAATATTATTTAGTTACTTTTGACAACCCTGCATTGAAAAGAAACATACTTTTGTTCCTTTTGTAGGAAATAACTTCTCATTCAAGGAAATACCTAGCTTTATCATACACATAAGCTGATTTCCCCCCCCCCCCCTATATCACCCTTCTGTTGTAAAATAGAAAATGCATATGAGGGTGTATTGATGCCAAAACCTAATGATATTATGCAATAACACCCATGCTTGTATACATATATGTACAAACGTACCACAAGATACTATGGATATCTTTTTTTGATTAAAATAATTCCCAACCCTTTAATTTAAATATTAGTTTGAGAATCCAGACTTGTATAGAAAACTAAACTTTCCTCATAAATAATCAACAACACTCAACATAAATTTTAAAACCAAGCTAAGAAGATTCCCGTGGTTCTGCTAATCTCCCTAATCAAAGGTCAATGGGTTCCTGAGTTATGATCGGACATGCAAAAAAACAAAGATTACTACTTAATACAGGGTGTCCCAAAAATAGGGTGCTGAGGAAACAGTTTTTAATCCAATTTTCACAATCAAGGTGTCTGATGAAGATCTCTCTGTTTCAGTTATTTTTTGGATTAAATTCTCTTACTTTTTTGATACAGCCTGCAGTCACTGCTTTGAGTCTTAGTCACAAATCTTAAAATGTAAACAATTTGAACAGTTTTTGCCCAGATGGGATAGATCAAATATTTTTAAATAATTTGTGTGGGCCGGGCACAGTTCTTACTGACTATAAGAAACCGAATAAGCTTTCTTTTATTTATTTTTGATTGCTAATTTTATTTTTAAAATGCTTTGGTTCAAAAAAAAAAAAATTATCACAGATTCGAAATTTTCGCTCAAAAAGAAAACTCAGAAAAACACCTTACTTAGAAAAAACGAAATTTTTTTCATAATTTATGGACGAGTTAAAATAAAATGAGCAAAAACAAAAATTTAAAAATCCGGGAAATCGATTTTCGACCTTTTCTCAATGAAGTGATTGTAACATAAAAAGTATGAGTCCTAGAGAAAAAATCTACAGCTTAAAATATCTTAAATATAGAGCTGTGGGCCACACAGATGATATAAAAAAACAAAAAGGGGGTTCACACATATTCTCCTTCCGGAGTCCAAACCCCCCTCCGTGTCAGGGATTGGACATAGAAAATGACCAAAATCCCTTTATAAAATGCCGGGGGAAAATGACAAGTAAAAAACAGATGAAAGATCGTGTTTGTTCTTGGTCAAATTGTTTTTAAAAAATTGGTTACACGAGTGATGTGCTTAACAGCAGGTAAAACAGATTTTTGGAACCCTTACGTTGTCACTTGACCTTTTTGATACAAAGGAATTGAGATTTTGTTTTTAGTCCTTAGATATTTCAAACTATGAATTATTTTAGATCAAATAATGATAGTTTGAAATATCAAAGATTTACACCAGCATCAGTTTGAAAAGATATGGCGATTGTAAAATCATAATTTGTGGCAAAACTCAGTTCCTTTTGCATTAGGGCAGATACTTCAGATCAAATCATCAAATAGATCTATAAATCGTCTCTCAACTGTCATGTTTAGTGAGACACTCAGATGATTATTCTACAGGTTGATATCTGGAGTGTTGGATGTGTCCTTGGAGAGATGGCTCTTCTCCATCCTCTAATACCAGGACAAGATACAGGAGATCAAATAGGAGAGGTGGGTATACTAGGCTACAGGATACAGGATACAGGAGATCAAATAGAAGTGGTGAGTATACCAGGATACAGTATACTGGAGATAAAATAGAAGAGGTGAGTTTACCAGGATACTGGATACAGTAGATCAAATAGGAGAGGTGGGTATACCAGGATACAGGAGATCAAATAGAAGAGGTGAGTATATCATGATACAGGATACGGTAGATCAAAAAGGAGAGGTGAGTATACCAGGATACAGGAGATCAAATAGGAGAGGTGAGTATACCAGGATTCTGGATACAGGAGATCAAATAGGAGAGGTGAGTATACCAGGATACAGGAGATCAAATAGGAGAGGTGAGTATACCAGGATTCTGGATACAGGAGATCAAATAGGAGAGGTGAGTTGTCGAATTTTCTGACAATTAATTGATGCAATAAATCTATAACTCATAAACTTGCAATCATGATAAGATCATACTTCAGGTCATCTCCTTATTGCGGATCCGTCCTTTATATGTTCAATTATCTTTGCACCCTGATTATAACTTTTAATAAACAATTAGGCATTGCACATACATTTATTTTTGCATAGCTTATAAATGGACATACAAATATATTATTATGATTATATGACAGATTAGCAATAGGTTATGATCCTTCTATTTGTTAGGTTCACTAACCTGATCCCTAAGGACCTTCTCAATAATAATGATCCTATTTAGGATCATGAGCAGGATCTCTTGAGATCTCTGCAATCCTATCAAGCTTGGATCCCATCATCTTAAGGAGGGATAAACCCTCTAATAATACCTCATACTTAGGGATCAAGTTCAATCTACATTGCTCCTCCAGATATCTCTTCATCCTCAGAACCTGCACAAACAAACAGTCTGATATCTTCTCCCTGGTTGAATGGAGGAACTCATGTAACTAGGCTCCGTGACGTCCAGGATGATCCCAGATACTAGGGAGATGAGGTGGAGTAAGTGCCCGTTCATCAAAGGGCTGAGGACAGTCTTGATCCTCATGATCCACATGATCTCTCAAGATAGAATTCCTTCCTTCAGTCCCAGGAATGTTGATCTGGTGATCATGTGATGAGAGGTAAGTCTCCAAGCTTGGGACACTCTCATCTTCCGCTGTATCCTTATCTTTAGCTGCATCTTCAGCTACATATTCAGCTGTCTCCTCAGCTGCATCTTTAGATGCATCCTCAGTTGTATCTTCATCATATCCATTATCAGGTGTCACTCGGTATGCGGGGTTCATCATCATCTAATCTTTGCTGCTCATCTTCATGGAAGCTCTCTGTATCATTGTAGGATAGAGTCCTGTATGCTGTATGTCGTACAGGGCCCGGAACGTTAGTTTGTAAACGACTTGTATGTGTGTCTACTCTTCTAAGGTTCGGGCTGTACTGATTCAATCTGGTCTCTCCGATCTCTCTTTGTATCTAAGGGACTGTAAATCCTTTTCTGAATCAGTCCTGAATACAACAGAGTATACCAGGATACAGGTGATCAAATAGGAGAGGTTAGTATGCCAGGATACTGGATACAGGAGATCAAATAGGAGAGGTGAGTATACCAGGATACTGGATACAGGAGATCAAATAGAGAGTATGCCAGGATACTGAATACAGGAGATCAAATAGGAGAGGTGAGTATGCCAGGATACTGAATACAGGAGATCAAATAGGAGAGGTGAGTATGCCAGGATACTGAACACAGGAGATCAAATAGGAGAGGTGAGTATGCCAGGATACTGAATACAGGAGATCAAATAGGAGAGGTGAGTATGCCAGGATACTGAATACAGGAGATCAAATAGGAGAGGTGAGGCATTTAGCAGTAGAGAAGAGAGATAGGGTTTCAACATTTTCGAGAAATCACTCTCACAAAGTTTTGAGTTGATGTTCGAGGAAGAACACAAAATTTTTACAAAAATATGAAAAATTTTCAAAATGATAAATGAAATAACAAATAAATTTTTTTGAAAATGAATTCCAAATTTTGATTTTCACAGAATTCGTTAAAAACTTTAGGTCATTCCAGAAGTAATGTTGAAGGTAATAAAGTTTCAAATGAAATCAGAAAGAAGGGATGATAAGTCCATAGTTAAAGGAAATTTAAGAGTTACTTACATGGATTAGGTAAAGAGGCAAAACTTCCAGCCTTTTATACAAAAGATAGGAGTTCCTTTTCAGAAGCAGTTTTTTTATAAAAATTTCGAGTTGTTTTATGAAGGATACAGAAAACAGAGAGGATCCCCTGTAGGAATATAAAAAGACATATTTTTCCATAAATATCATTTTATTGATAGTTAATTCAAAGAAATTGCAGTTTCCTGTTATTAAATCATACTAAATCAACTCTCTCTGCATTCACTACCTCTGCATACTAGTCAATAAAATTAAATGAATCTATCCTATTTTCCATATTTACAGGGTGAGAAAAAAACATGGATTAGTGATGTTTAAAAAAACACGGTATCACTATACTAAATCAAAGAATGGTTTAAAAGACGATATCGAATTCGTGACTGAATTCCCATGTTTATTGGGACACCCTGTAGATTTTCTTATGATAAATATATGTCGGAGATAATTTTTTAATTCCATCCAATAGTCATAATAAAGTCATGTACACGTGTTGTTGGATCGAAATAAGAATTAAAGGAATGGAGTCTTTGTCACAAAATATTATTTTCTAATTTCTATGTCTTCGAAAACCAATATCCTTTGATATTTCAAACTATGAATTCTGTTTGATTAAACAATCTAAGTTTAAAATATCTAAGGCTTACACCATCAGGTTGCAAAGATATAGAGGTTAAAAAAATGGAGTTGGTGTCAAAGACTCAATTCTTTTAAAATTCATTTTGGTTCATTTAACACATTCAAAAGTCATGAACATTCCCTTTGAAGGTGATGGATCTATTGGGAGCTCCGACTGAGACTGATCTAGTGGAGATGGGACTTCAGCATCCTGGACTCTACTATACCGTTGGAGCTCTCACTGATAGGATTCAAGGTAGGCGTCGATTAGTTGATTAGAAAGAAATTTTTTTTTTTTTAACTCCTTCACTTTTACAACATTATAGTTGTGAACAAATTTTGCAAAATAATATTTTTCTTAGGATGCACAGGGTAGGTTGGAGGACGGTCAAATGGGCATACATTTAAATATTTGAAAAGCTCTTAAAAAATATTTACTTTTAAACATTTTTAGAGCAATTGAGCAATTAAAACAGTTACAAATACAAAATCTTCAAAACTCAAATCAACTTACATTCACAAAAATAAATTTAGGCTCGGTAATTTCATAGAGAAATTATTTTTGGACCCCCGTACGGCCCCCACCCCATCCTGTCAATTTTGTACAGGCATCTCATATTTAACACATAGATAAAGTTGGTCATGTGGCCGCTGCGCCCGGCCCCCTAACCCTGTCTTAGCCGCGGCCGGCCCCATAGCCTGTCCTGGCTGCAGCACTCTGCCCAGAAATTGTCCTAACCCTGAAATAATACAAAATAAATATTTGTTGGTTAAAAATAGTTGAAATCTAGGTCACGTAAAAAAAATTGATAGGAGGGGGGAGGCCGGTGGGGAGGGGGGGCCAAAAATTGTATACTAGGACGGACCCCTTAGACTCTTTAGAACATTGCTTCCATTTTCAAGAATGAGTCGACTTTAATGTGTCGCAACGTCTATTGATTTTACTTACAGTGGTAGGTGATTATATCAATACAATGATGACGACTTTCAATTTCTAATTTGATTTATATCAAGCTTTCAAACAGCATGGATACACATAAAAGTGGAAACAATGAGAAGCTGTCAATTACATAAGTTTCTCTTTGATTACTTGCAGACTTGTAATTCAAAAGAAGCTTGTAAACAATCAAAGCTTAACTAAAAAGTCGTCTTCAATGTTTTAATAAAAATCGCGGTACACTGTACTGTATACCCCTAGACATGTAAATTCCAAAACTTTAAACCATTTTTTTACTTATAGGTTTTAACACGTATTTGGAAAAAGTTTTCGCCTTTTGCATGAAAGCCATTGCAATTGTGCCCTAACATAGGATTGATAAACATTCTTTTCAAATCTTAAATTTTAGAAAAGTCATTCAATGGTCAAATAATTTGTGGAACAGCTAAACAAAGGACAATGTTTTTTTTTCAAACTTTTCTTTGAATTTTGAATTCTTTGATTAAAATTTTTTCTTTTATGTTCATAATCTTTACGTTTCTGAGAATACAACGACTTCTCTTAAAGTGACTTTTAGTGTAATTTCAAGTGATCCATCACGTAAAGATGGCAATGCCTGATTCACATCACAGAGGTATCATTAAAACATTAATGATGTGAACAATGTGTAAATAATGTTTTCCTATTGTATAAATGCTTTGAAGAACAAAAGGTGAAAATTATAAGTTTTCAAAATTATAACAATTAATTGATGTAATGCATAATTGCTTAGATAACTCTTTTATGGATACTGTTGTAAACCGGGCATTGTCATCTTAGCAATGGATGGCAGGTTACTTGAAATTACGCTTACAGTCCGTTTAGTTCGCGATCTTCAAGTTTCTGATGAAACATTGTTTTAGAAACTAACTTAAGATTTTGATTACAATGTAGACAAAATGAATTTTAACATGCGTAGATCCTTTTCAGAAAAAGAAAACTTTTTCTTACGCACAATCATGTAGCATAGGCATTAGGCAAGTAGATTAATTGAAAATGGGAACTTTAGAATGGGATACCTATAATCCCATCTGCTTAATCCGAATATCCAATGTGGACAATATTAAATTCATGCTTAGTCTACTCTTTTATGGATATATAGCACAGAAAAATCAAAAACCAATTTTTCAAAATTAGAAAGTCCCTCCCGTTTCTGTATATTAATCTTAATGGCGCGAAAAATTTTAAATATTCCCGGCTTTTGATACGCGACTCTGATTGGTTGAATTTTATACACTTTTCAGGATAAAAGTACAAGATTATGTTAGTCTCGAGATTAAGAAAAAGAGAAGATCAAGCATTGATCTCGATATCCACAATACTAAAGTTCCCAGATCAGTTCAGTTTAAGATACGTTTGTAGTTCACAGGCATCTAACTCTTTAAAATGAAGGTCAATTAAATTTATATTAACAGTCCCTTTAAATATCTGAACAAACCAAGATGGAGCTTTAATTAAAACAATGATGAGCTGTCCTTGAGCGAATAATGAACTGTGGTCAGTTTCTAGAGTTCTTTTCAGAGATTTCAGATAAACAATTTAATTTATATTTATTCAGATTTTGGCAGAGAGGATCGTATCCACAAACTCCTGAATCCTGTACTTGGATTCTATCCTTGGATCTCATCTACTCTTCAATCAATACTTCAATACAATCCATCCAGTAGACCTACTCCTTCTCAACTCCTAGCAATCATTTCCAGCTCCTAGCAATCCTTTCCAGCTCCTAGTAATCCTTCCCAACTCCTAGCAATCATTCCTAGCTCCTAGAAATTATTCCTAGCTCCTAGCTATCTTTTCCAGCTCCTAGCAATCCTTCCCAGCTCCTAGAAATCCTTCCAAACTCCTAGCAATCATTCCAAACTCCTAGCAATTATTCCTAGCTCCTAGTAATCCTTTCCAGCTCCTACCAATCCTTCCCAGCTCCTAGAAATCCTTCCCAGCTCCTAGCAATCCTTCCCAACTCCTAGCAATCATTCCAAGCTCCTAGCAATTATTCCTAGCTCCTAGCTATCCTTTCCAGCTCCTAGCAATCCTGCCTAGATCCTAGCTATTCTTCTTAGATCCTAGCAATCCTTCTAACTCCTAGCATACTTCCCAGCTCCTAGAAATCCTTCCTAGCTCCTAGCTATCCTTCTTAGATCCTAGCAATCCTTCCCAGCTCTTAGCAATCATTCCCAGCTCCTAGAAATTATTCCTAGCTCCTAGCTATCATTCCTAGCTCCTAGCAATCATTCCCAGCTCCTAGCAATCGTTCCTAGCTCTTGGCTATCATTCCTAGCTACTAGCAATCCTTCCCAGCTCCTTGAAATCCGGCCTAGATCCTATCAATCCATCCTACCTCCTTGCTATCCTTCTTAGATCCTAGCAATTCTTCCCAGCTCCTAGCATACTTCCCAGCTCCTAGCAATCCTTCCTAGCTGCTTGCAATTCTTCCCAACTCCTATCTATCCTTCCTAACCCCTTGCTAGCCTTCCTTGCTCCCAGCCAGCCATCCTTCCTATTCCTAGCTCCTAGCTATAATTCTTCCCAGCTCCTCGCTATCTTTCTTAGCTCCTAGCAATCCTTCCTAGCTCCTAGCAATCCTTCTTAGCTCCTTGAAATCCTTCTTATATCCTAGCTATCTTTCTTAGCTCCTAACAATCCTTCTTATAGCTCCTAGCAATCTTCTTAGCTTCTAGTTTTTTTCTTATAGCCTAGCAATCATTCCTAACTCCAAGAAAATCTTTCCTAGCTCCTATAAATACTTTCCAGCTCAAAGCAATCCTTCCTAACTACTAGCTGTCCTTGCTAGCTCCTAGCTATCCTTCTTAGCTTCTAGCTATCTTTCCTAGCTCATATCAATCCTTCCCAGCTCCTAGAAATCCTTTCTAGTTCCTAGCTATACATTATAGCTCCTAGCAATCCTTCCCAGCTCCAAGCAATCCTTCCTAATTCCTATCTTTCCTTCCTAGCTCCCAGCTATCCTTCCTAGCTCCTACCTATCTTTCCTAGGTTCTAGCATTCCTTCCTAGCTACTAGCTATCCTTCCTATTTCACATTTATCCATCCTAGCTCCTAGCTATCTTTCCTAGCTCCTAGCTATTCTACCTAAGTTCCTAACTCCTAGCAATCCTTCCAAGCTCAAAGCTATCCTTCCTAGCTACTTGCTATCCTTCCCAGCTTATAGCAATCCTTCCTAGTTTTCAGTTATCCTTCCTTGCTTCTATCTATTCTTTCTAGATCCTTGCAATTTTTTCCCAACTTCTTGCAATCCTTCATAGCTCCTAGCAAATCCTTCTTGCATCCTTTCTATCTTTCTAGCTTCTAGCTGTCCTTCCGAGCTCCTAACTATCCTTCCTAGTTCTTAGCTATTCTTCCTAGCTTCTAGCTTTCCTTCCGAGCTCCTAGCTATCCTCCCTAGTTCTTAGCTATCCTTCCTAGTTCATAGCTATTCTTCCTAGCTCCTAGCTATCCTTCTTAGTTCTTTTCTTCCTTTCTTCTTATCTTTGCAATACACTTATGAAATGGTAAATGATTATAAAATGTATTTACTTCAATTTTACATTGTAAAATGTGTACGGAGTCTCTTATTCCAGAAGAATTATTCAACACGTGTATAGAATTATCTATTTTTCATCATTATTTTGACATTTTCTTATTTTTATTCTATTGATGTTCTTGTGCAAAGTCATATTTTAGAGATATACATGTAGAGAATTCTTTATCATAATCTGTTGTATCAAAGTAACGTTTATATGCAATTTCTAATAAAAATTTTCATGTAAATCATGTACCTTAGGTAGCCCATATTTTAGATTTTAAGATTGAAATATATAGATATTTATCATTTACTGTTGAATTATATACGTTTTTATCATGTTACTAGCTTGAGAGCCCAGCGTAAATCAGGGGAGTTAGTTCCATCGTTTACATAAATTACGATTCTAGCTATTTTTCCGACTTACTCAACTCAGAATCTAAAAATCAAGCTAAAAACATTACCATGGCTCTCTCGAGTTCCTCTATCAAAATTTGATGCAAATCGGTCCAGAGGTTCCCGAGTTCTGATCGTACTAACAAACAGAGAATACAACTTTATATATATAGATACTAATTTAACATATTTTATTTATCACAATAATAAAATAGATCCATTATAAACCATCAAATAACAGTAAAATAAAAGGTGACCGCCAAAAAAGTCCTTGGAAAAAAGTCCTAAAAATTCACACTAAAAAAGTCCTGTGGAAAAAAGTCTTTTTATTGAAAAGTCTCCGGAAATAAAGTCTTACCAATTCGAGACTTTATTTTCTAGGACTTTTTTTCTGGCTCCAGTATGATTTTATACAAAAAAGTCCTCGGAAAAAAAGTCCTCTAACAAGTGAAAATGCATGATTCACAATTCTGGGTTTTTCTTTTCCTCGGACTTCTTTTCTTCAGGACTTTTTTTCCTGGGATCTTATTTCCTGAGACTTTATTGGCAGCCCCCATACTATTTTAGGAAAAAAAGTCCCAGGAATCCAAAACACCGGACTTTATTTCCAGTGACTTTTTTTCCAAGGACTTGAGAAAGTTCGGACTTTTTTCCCAAAGTTTTTAATTCCAGGTTTTTTTTTCCAGAAACTTTTTTTCCCGGGACTTTCATACATAGATTCAAAATAAAAAAAAGTCAGATCCTGATAATATTTTACCAAGTAGATGTATATGTGATTATATAAGTGTATTTAGCAGCCGAAGTATTTAATATACAAATAGTTGTAAGAGATCACCATCACATCTAGAATCATTAAATATCTTTAATCTATATAAAAAAGCTCTTCACTCATATGAACATATTTGTATGTAACTAAGAAGTAATAATCAGAGTACTATACCAGTCTCAGTTTTTTCATGCATTTGTATATATTTATATATATAAAAGTATCTATCCAAACCGCAGCTGTAGGAAATCGGCTACAATTTTTTGAGGGAAACCATGGGTACTTTGGGGGATAACATAGGCTAAAAATTTCGTTTTTATTTTAATTCAAATTTTTTGTTTTTCCACGGGTTGAAACTTTTTTATTTGGAATAATATTAACCTGCAACGTCTTAATTCGGTTACAGAAAGGACAATTTTTATTTATTAAACGATTGAATGATTAATCTTTAAATTTGTGATTCAACAGCTGATTTGTACTGTTGCGGAGATGAGAGAGAAGGCAATAACGTAATCAGACCAAATGTCTTCAACTTATTGACTCCCAAGCCAACTAAGATTTAAAGTTCTGTTCGTACTTAGTCTGGAAACCGGTTATTGTAGTTTATACAGTACAAATATTCCACTTCAGTTATATTAATGTTTTAGTGTGGGAATATCAGTAAACACCTGGTAAATACATATCATTAGAATTAATTTAATTTCTTTCGTGAAACTTTTTTTGACTGATCCCATATTTAATAGCTTATTTTGACAGACACATCGAGATACGTTCATAATTGTGAGTTTTATGTTTAGTTTTAGTTAATTTGGAAACTAAGCTTTTGGTGTTTACTGCAGTGATCTGCACTCTGCAGTGTTCTCACCGAATAAATAGTGTTTTAGTGAAGAGAGTGCAATGCTTGATTTCGATCTCTTTTTAATCTGCAGATTTATTAATCTTAGTTTGATGTCCCACGGACAATTGTATCCAGTCAGGGATTGAAGGGAGCTTCGATCAGGCAAGGAATAAATGAACTATAAAGAAATTAAGAATCGATCCTCAAATTAAAAGTGCCCAAAGTGGATATCAAGATCAAAAGATCTGGATTAAGAATTTATCAACTTAAAAGTTCCCAGCTCTGTATATTTTGGAGGAAGAAGATATCGATTTGGATATAACTGGAATTCAAGGTAAAGTGCTATAACATACACGATACGCAGTGGGTTTACAAAACACTTAAAACAAAACACCCACACTTCAAAACACATAATTTTCAAAACACCTAATTTTCAAAACACCTAATGTCAAAACACCCACGTGTCAAAACACTCACGTGTCAAAACACTCAAAGGGCCGAAAGTATTGAACATCTAAATTTCATTTAAAGGAAAAACACTTAATTTTCATTTACAGGTCAAAAATACCTATGTTTCATTTTCGGAAATTTACGTCAAAATTTTCAAATGGTACACCATGTGCTTTGTACATTTTTAATTAAGTAATAACAGTAAATTGGTACACCATGTAAATATGTAATTTTTTAGTACCGCTAAATTGGTATACCATGTAAATCTGACGAGAAGTGTGTAGTTGATAAATGTAATATGACAAATAATCAATCTTGTCTGTATAAGGAGGGGGGGGGGGGGGTTTNAATCTTAGTTTTTTTACCTAACCTAACCTAACCAAATCTAACCAAAACTAAACTATATATATTTATAGTATTCAACACACGATATGATTTTTTATTGTATCAACATTATTTTATCTGTTTGTTTTCGTTTAAAAATAAAGAAATGAATTCTTCATGCAAAAATAATAACATGTCATTGTGTGGCAAGGTTAACCCTATCGTGTTTTTTTTTGCGAGAACTCGAAAAGTATTTGAACTTGGAAGCTCAAAGAAGAAATCAGAGTGCACTATGTTTGCAAATATTTTTGCACAGACGCCTTTGTTTGTAAAGAGAAATTGTACATTTTAAATTTTTTTGTTACACATTCAGATTTTGAAAATTTTGCGTTTTTTGCAGATTTAAATTTGCTGGGTCAAAAGTCAATTTTTTTTGAAAGATAATTGAAGTAGAGAGCAGATTGGCTTTCCTATCAAATTATAGATTTATATAGTCTTTTTTTTGGTAAACCAGACGTCAGTCGGAATAGGGTTATACATGTTCAATCAGTCTCTTAGGTTCATAGATTTTATTGAATAGAAAAAAAAAAAACATTTTTGAGCTTTTATAACGTTTATTTCATTAAAACTAATAAATAAAGGAGCATATGAGAAATCCTTTCTTGTAAACTTTGGTTAGAAAGTAATACAAATCAATTAGTAAACAATTAATTAATCCATTAACATTTAATTGCTCAAAACAAGAAAAAATTAATTACACCTAAATGTCCCAAGGTTGGATTAACCGAAAAATGTGAATCAATCAAAGCTATTTTTCAAAACAAAGTAAAAATTAACCATATTTCCGTGAAATTTCCTCCCCATTTACTTGTTGACTGTATATAGTATAAACTACTGTATACTGAAGCTGGACATAAGAAAAAAAAGTACTTCTCAAGGTGTATAATGGGAGTGGGTTCATGGGCTACCAATTTACTTTATTTATCAACTACACTAGTTCATGGACTACCAATTCACTTTATTTATCAACTACACATGTTCATGGACTACCAATTTACTTTAATTATCAACTACACATGTTCATGGACTACCAATTTACTTTATTTATCAACTACACATGTTCATGGACTACCAATTTACTTCATTTATCAACTACACATGTTAATGACTACCAATTTACTTTATTTATCAACTACACACATGTTCATGGACTACCAATTTACTTTATTTATAAACTACACATGTTCATGGACTACAAATTTACTTCATTTATCAACCACACATGTTTATGGACTACCAATTTACTTCACTGAATAACTACACATGTTCAAAGTCTACCAATTTACTTTACTCATCAACTATGACCATATTTTTTGCGCAACGTTTGCATAATTTTCGCGCAAATATTTTTTTGCGAACTTTTGCACATGAAGTGCAATAGGTTTTACGCGTCTTTACGCAATATTTTTTTTTGCGTAATTTGCGCAAAACGTAAATTTTCACGCAAAACACGCAAATATTGCCAATTGACCAAATTTGACAGTTTTAGCACAGAATTAGACAACTAGCTGAAGGTTAATTGAAAATTTACATACAAATAGATTATGATTATGTTGCTATCAATTGGTTACTTTTAGTTACAAAATCTCAACTTAAAGGACAAAAATTAATAAAACAGAAATTACAAATTTGAAAATTGAAATTTGATGCATGCATCTTTGTGTGGTGTTACCCTTTGATATTTCAAATGTTGACTACATTCGATGCACATGATTGAAATATCAAAGGTTTATGCCCACTGAGATAAAGGCAACACTAAAACTGAGTCATACAATTTTTATACAGCCTCGCAGTGTCGCAATAATTTGGACTTTGGTTTTACTTCGCCAACTCACTGATACATTTTGTAGGCCTAGACATATACATTTTAAAAATGTTACGACTCTGTTTCTTTCTTAAGTTGAAAATGAGTAGTTGGAAAAATACTGCTCGACTTTTGTGTGAGATCGTGCACATGTTGATTTACAGTGGGGCATCATGCATCAGGTTGCATAATAGAGTTTTTGGCAAGTAATCAGTTCCTTTTTAAGCATTACAATTATATGCAAACAAATACAAACCCATAGATATCTAATTTATACAGTTTACACCTTTATTTAACCTTTTACCAAGAGTTTGTTCCGCAAATTTGCGCAAAACAGAATAACGCAAAAGCAAAAGCGTGCAATTTTGCGTGAAATTTTTTCATTGTCTTCCGAAGTACTGGGTTAAACTGTAGATAAAGTTATTATTTTAACTAGACCAAAATAGTAGAATTGTGTTTGACCAAAGTCTAAGAGGTAGCCAAAGCCAATATTAAGATTAATTACTTGATGAAGTTAGGGCTGCCAACAGAACTAAATATTTCCTCTTTCTTCAATCCTTGCCATATAGGCATTACTAGACGTTGTTCAGAGAGAGGGGGGGAGTAGGGCTGGGTAAAGTTCCATTTAACGAAGCAGAGGTTTTCGAAAATTAACTGAAGAGTCTGATAACGAACGTTAATCTTTAAATTGTTAACGGAACGGATTACCCATTTTTGAAAAAAATTTGCATTTAAAAACGAAAATAAACGAATGTGATTTTATAATCGCATGAATTTTATAGAAATTTTGAGAGTTTTAGCTGCTATTACTACAAACAACCGTTAACTAAAATGAATGTTAATTGAAAAAAAAACCGTTAACCTTATTAATAAAATTAAGATTGTTAACTAACTGTTAGAAAAAGTTGGAACGTGCCCAACCCTATGGGGAGTAGGTTATACGCACAATTGCACCTTGGATTATTCAGTGGGAATTTGGTACAAACTCCAAAATCCAAGAAAAGGATGTAAAACATGTTTTTTAGTTTAGTATTTAGAGTAATACTTTCCAAAACATCAATCATTGAAACCGCCACCAGCCTTTCTATCTATTGCGGTACATGAGCCTGCGATTTAAAAGCTTCGGCTTGAGTCGTGAGTCCTTAAACCCAGCTATAAGTCCTAATCTTTGACACAACTCTGTGCCCAATGAAATTAAAACCGACCTTGGTTGGTTTTAGTGGAAAATAAGGCTCAATGTTGAGTCTTGTTCTGAATAAAACCCGGATTGCGGCAATTCCAATCATGAAAATTCATCAAATACATTATTAAACTTGGTTTGTGAATTCAGCTCTGTGCAAAATTAGATGCAATTTAAATCCAAAAAGCCCAAACAGTAAATAAAACCCACTTACAGCTTAACCTGAGTCGTATTTTCCTGAATCTATTAAATCGTGGGCTTTGAAGGCTCCGGAGCAGCAGAGGAGGTGAGAGGAGGTTCATCAAACAGGAGAGTTCTCATATGCTGTCCAGACTAGAAGGTGTCCCTAAAAGTTATTCTAGGCCCAGTATATTTTAATTATCAATCTGCTCTATCAGTTCTGGAACTAGAAACCTTAAGGACTAGGAGAGAGAAACTTTGTTAATCCTTTGCTAAAAAAAATGTCTTAAATCTCAAAAGCATTCTGCCCTATTCCCGGTAGAACCAGTCACTCACAACCACCAGCTACGGAACGTTAAACTATTTACTGTCAACTATGCTAGAACGGAGAAATACAGAAAATCTGCTATTCCCTATATTCAGAGAAAATTAAACTTCCTATGATATAACCTTATCTTAATTTGTGATAAAACCCATGATATATTCAATTATATTCCTATGAGAATGTTAATCATTTTATGATATGTATTATGATCTTGATTTATCTCTAATAAATCTTACTTACTTACTTACTAGACTAGATTACGACGTCATCACTAAATATTCATGTTGACTGGAGGCTTTATCAGGGACGGATTACAGTTTTACTGAGAATTAAAAAAATATGAAAAAAATGCTTTTATGAATCTGTATTTTCCTTTTTTCATAGTTTTACACACTGTTTTAACTAGAAAGTAATAAGTCATTTGTATGTGTACTGTAACAATTTGCTTTTTTAAAGTGAACTTGTAAACTGTACAATTTGCTCTAGCTCCCTACAAGTCTTGTACTTGTAAACTGCAAAATTTGCTCTAGCTCCCTTCAAGTCTTGTACTTATAAACTGTACAATTTGCTCTAGCTCCCTACAAGTCTTGCACTTGTAAACTGTACAATTTGCTCTAGCTCCCTACAAGTCTTGTACTTGTAAAATGTACAATTTGCTCTAGCTCCCTACAAGTCGTGTACTTTTAAACTGTACATTTTGCACTAGCTCCCTACAAGTCTTGTACTTGTAAATTGTACAATTTGCACTAGCTCCCTACAAGTCTTGTACTTGTAAACAGCACAATTTGCTCTAGCTCCCTACAAGTCTTGTACTTATAAACTGTACAATTTGCTCTAGCTCCCTACAAGTCTTGTACTTGAAAACTGTAAAATTTGCTCTAGCTCCCTACAAGTCTTGTACTTGTAAACTGTACAATTTTTTCTAGCCCCCTACAAGTCGTGTACTTGTAAACTGTACAATTTGCACTAGCTCCCTACAAGCCTTGTACTTGTAAACTGTACAATTTGCAC